TTCTTTTCGAAATTTTCTTCATTTTTAGGTTTTGGAAGATTTGAAAAATTGAGAAGTCGACTGGTATAAATTGCTTGCGGATGTGTTATATAATTCATTGGATTTGTAGCTGTTGTATCAGTTGTTGTTGTTGTTTGATTTTTGGAAAATTCTTCAGATTTCGTTATTATTGTCAAAATCATTTTTCTCATAATCCCACTAGTATTTAATCAACTCGTTATATAATTCATCAAAAGTGGGTCGAAGTGTAATTACGGGGGAATTCCAGTGGTGATTTCATTAACAACAAACGCAAATAAATAAAACATCAGCGGCTTTTGTATATTTAATACTCCAGGAGCTATATAGGGTAATACTCCAGAAATGGTATTCTTTTGAAGATCTTTTATGTTTGCTGTAATTAATTTACTCAATCCCAAAATCTGATATAAATAAATAAGTTAATTCTTTTAAAATATTTCCAGGATGAAAATCACGATGAACTATATCTAATTTATGAATATCTGAAAATTTTTTAGCTAATTCTTGTAAATGTTCTAATTTATTTCTCCAATCGATATTATTGTGATGATTCTTTGTGATGAGAGTAAGGATTGGTTTGTATTTTTTAACTTTGTACTTTTATTTTATGATCTTTCTTTTTATTTTGAATATGAATATAACAAAAACTCAAAATTATCATAGTAAAAAAAATTTAATATTGAAAAGGTCATAAAAAATGAATTTATAATGTCAAAATTTTTTTAATTTTTGGAATTTGAATATTCAAAGATTAATTATTATTATATTATAATTTATTTCTAAAATTTTTGTTGCAATGATTTTTAACTGCAAATATTTCTTTTGAAGAATAAATTTCAGTGAATGTTGTGAGTATTTTGATGAATTTATTAATTGTATTAATGACAACCATTTTTAATTCTTTAATTTTTATTACTACAAAAAATTCGTTCAAGTTGATTCTTAGACATTTTTATAATTTTTCAATTTAATTGTTATTTTATTTTTAAATAATTAATAACTAATAATACTATGCACAATACACAATACATAAAAACAAAAATAGATCTATTATCTTTTGTTAGGATTTTTTAATTTTATATTTATTAAATTGATTAGATTAAATGACCTTATTATACTGACTACATAAATTTTATAATAAAATAATATAATAATAATAATACTGCCATTCAGTAAGTATTATTATTATAAATTTATTAGGGGAAGTCATGGTGGAACTAGAGGAGGTTGTAATGGTGGAGGAGATAAATTAATAGTGAAATATCCCTTAGAAAATTTTATTTTCGTTAAGAGATAATACTTTATGATATGATCCATTTAAAAAAATCTTTAAGGTGGTTCTAAAGTAATCATTGAACCCCATAGACATGAAGGTAATAAAAATTTAATTATTTTTTTTTAACGAAATCTCCTTTTTATTTCCATTAAAAATTACATAGTAAATGTATACAGTTATTTAATAATTATTTATTTTTATCAATCAAATATTTATTATTGATTATTTTGATTATTTCAGGTTTCATGTGATCGCCAATGTTCTGAATGAAAAACTAAAAAATTATTATTTTTTTCGATCTACCTAACGTATGGAGATGGCCAAAAACAACAATAAACTTTATTATTTTTTTTCACCTATATTTTGGAAAGATTTTCTTACCAAAAAAGAGTATAATGTTTTGAATATCTGTTCCACTCATTTTTACATTTTTTTTTTACATTTGCGACTTCTAGAATGGACAAAGCATTAGGTCCAAAAATCTATTCTACGATAATAAAATAAGAAATGGCTGCTCAAAAAATTGAATGGAATGAGAAATCAAAAGGCCAATATTTATAAAACAATTACTAAGCAAGAAGAATATCTAAAAAATATGTTTTGAAAATGATTCATCTCTTACAGACTTTTACTTAAAATGTTAAAGATTACATATGATGAATTTAGAAATGGTAATTCTGTAGAAAAACAAATCTGCAATACTGTGAATTGAAAATAAAGTGTATCTTCACAAATGTATGTACATATGTTCTTTTCTATCAAAAATAATAATATTGTTATTGCTATCAATAAAGAAAAATAAAATGTAAATAATTTTTTTATAACAAAAGAATTTTTATGATAATGTGTATTTATAATACAAAATAAAATTACATGACTATAATGTCATGTATTTATTAAATTAAATAAAACAAAGAATAATACTGTATATAATTTGTGATATTTTATTTAACAAAAATAAAAAATATAACATTAAATAAATTTTATAAGTTTGGCATAGTCTAAATAAAAAAAAATAAAAATTAAATATAAATAATTAATTATGAAATGAAAAATGAATATAAACTAGCATTTATTTCAAGTTCTTTTTTTTTCATTTAGGTTCTGGAAGATTTGAAAAATTTAGAAGTCTACTGGTATAAATTGCTTGTGGAATTGAAGAGTTTTCCATCCTTTAAGAAGCTTTTACATTTACAAGTTTTTTTTTGCGAATTCAAGATTTCATCAACGTCAAAATATATGGCAACCGGGTCTTTTTTTTAGAGAATTGATTCATTTAAGAAAGAATGATCGGTTCGTATAATGGATCAGAAAAAGACATGTTTGATGGAGTCGTCGATTCAATGATTTTGTTTCGTCAGTGGTATTACTCCTAAACGACATAAACTATCTATGCCTGCAGAGCAATGCGAAATGAGACATGATACATGTATGGATAATCACATCACATTGTTTGTTTGATTTCCATTTATTAAGAATATTTACATATGGAAAACAATGAAGAAAGTAATAATTATATGAAAATAATAGTAAATTGTTCTGTAACTTAGTCATAATTCTTTCAAACGAAAGTTCAAGTAGAAAAAACTATTTTCGTCTACAAAATGAATGTCATAAGTGACAAAATAGGAAATTAACACTCTTAGGCCTAACATAAAAAGTTGGAGACTTGACTGATCTACTCTACTACTCCAATAAACAATTCGACAGGAATGATATAAGCAAATAATAATTCCTCCACCAATGCTCCATCCCTGGAATACTTTAATTAAAAATGGCGTTGGTGGAGGTGGAGGTGGTTGCAGTGGAGGCGCTGGTGCTGGTGCTGGAGGTGCTAGAGGTGCTGGAGCTGCTAGAGCTGGTGTGCTTTGCAGTCGTCTTAATATCCCTCCCAAAGCTATGATCGTAAGTATGATTCCAGCATATGAAGGAGCATTATTTGAGAACCCATGAGATTCAAGTTCCAAGTCAATTTTAGTTTTGCATTCCGTAAAATCGGAATTAGTACAGTCGACTCGGAAGAGTGTGCTCAAGAATACTCCCTAAAATTTAAAAATTAATCGAATATTTAACAATCCATAAACAAATTATTAAAATAAATAAATACCTCAAAAATCAAATGAGCAATTAAGAAAATAGTAGCCAGACCAACTTCAAAACGCTCAACAAACACAAGAATTATTCGGTCCAAAAATTCTACAACGGTCTTCGGATGAATAATCTCATTAATTTGATGTGCCCGGTAAGTTAAAATCGCATCTAGTAGTATGCGATTTATAACTTGTATAATATAATAAGTTGGAGGATTTCCATTCTCCAATTTTACTACAAGAAACCATACTGAATTGAGGCAGCTTGTAATATTGTAACAAAGTTTAATTAACCAAAGTACAATATCTCTCCCATATACATCCCGATGATTCCTTTTATAAAAAAATAACCACAAAATAATACAAAAAGCGTTACAGCCGAATATCTACAAGATAGTATAATTAGAATTTAAGAATGAAATGATTACAAAACAACATTTAATAATTACCCCCGTTCCAATTCCAAATGAAAAGATGGAGAAAAATGAATCCATTGATTAAAAAATTAAGAAATAGATGTGATTTTTATGTTATAAAAACAAATGATATTTATTTTTAGGATCAAGGCAGAACAGCTTAATTTTACAATTTTACTTGAATGTCAAAAAATGAGCTATTTTGAATATTTTCATCTCTTTGTTTGTAGCATCGTGAAACTTCATTTTCAATATTTAAACGAATTTAATGGACATTTGTCCAATAGTTTATTTTGTTTGTTTCTTATCGAAAATTCGGAAGTAGTTGCAGGATAAATTGAAAATATATTGTATCTATTACAGTTCGTACAAATTTACAAATTAATTTAGTACCAACTGGGGATTGTTGTAACACTGCGAATTGTATTTGGGTATTAATTGTTTTAAAAATTAATATTGCATGCATCGTTTTTTTTTTTTTGTATTTTAGTCCAAATATAGTGCATATAAACAATGCACATAATTAAATTACAAATTATATTCAAGGGTATACATGAACATTTTTGGCAGAGAAAAATAAATAAGCTTTTTTGACTGCAATTATCATTTAATATTAATATCATTAATGCATTATACATTTTAATTGAATTGGATGTAGATAATGTGATTTTAAAAATTATCATTTTTTTTTGCATAACAATGTATTTTATTTATTTTATTTATTAAATTATGGTGAATCAAATAAACGAACAACAAAACAATGAATACCGAAGCAATGAACAATGAATAATGAAGCAACAAACCATTTCATTGAAGTATTTTTAGCACAAAAGTTATAACTTTTATATTTCCACTAGCAAACAATTAATCAATCATTCATGTGCTTATATCACGAAATAAAATTGTTGTACTGTATAAATAAATATTACTAATGTATAAAATAATAATAATATAATAATAATTATTATAATTGATAATTACAAATAATAATATCGTTATATATATAAAAAGTACTAAATACTATAATTTTCTAAATTTATTACTTGTAAAGAAATTATATTATAAACTAGCCATTTATTTTTTTTTGGGTATCCACCACATGAATAAGATTGGAATTGACAATCTTAATTAGTGTCACATTTGTTATACATTTTTCTAATTTAGTTTAAAAAATTAAATCAAGGAGAGTGTTAAGATTTTTATTTTTATTAAGTTTAAGAAAGTATATGAGGATTTAATCTTGAAATTTCAGTTAACCTTTGATATTCCTGGATGACATTTTGATCAGTCATAAAGGCTGATTGATCTAAGTGAGATATTTCAATATTATTCCAAGTGGTACATCAACTAAGGGCAACATATGCTTGTCCTGATGAAAAAATATTTCCATCTAATGCAAGACATACTTTGAGTAAAGTTAAACCTTGTGTTTTATGAACTGTTAAAACAAAACAGTTTTGTAGGGGATATTATGTTTGTTGACAATTAGTTCTATTTATTTCAAAATAATGAGTTTGTTTTGTAACATATATCAATTATAGATCCCCTAACTGAAAATGAAACTTGAATTATTTGTTTTGAAAGATTTATATCTGTTACAATACCTATAATACCATTACATATCTTATATTCAATAAGAGAATTATTAAGATACATAATGTTGGAAGGCAAATTTGTTTTTGATTTAAACATCTGATTTGTAAATGAAGTATTCCAAGGTGCTAATTTACAATATCAATTGCTTGTGAAATTAGAAATTTGTTATCAGGTACAGGTAGCATATTACAAATCATATGATTAATTTGTTGTGCATTTTCTTTGAATCCTACAATATGTGTTGTATCAAGTAATGTGTTGATAGTAGTTAGAAATTCTGAATGACATTGTTGTAGCATTTGCCATGTTTCATCAGAAATGTTTCCAATTTGTACTTCTTCTAATAAATTTAAAAATCATTCATCACCAATTTGTCACTGAGAAATTTTTAAAAAAGTAGATAAAATAATTTCCAAACTGTTGCATTAAATACAGGTTGACCTGTAATTGGAGATAACTGGGCAAGATCACCAACAACTATAACATTAATACCTCCAAATGCAAGTGCATTATTGTGAAGACTTGCAAAAAGATTAGAAATAAAAT